CTAAATGCCACACAACGTAAACACCCAGAAAAAGTGCAAAAGAGGGCATGCAAGATTATTCTCTCCCCTTCCTACTCCACATATCAAGAAGCGCTCAACACACTGACCCTTTCGACTCTCACTGACCATCACCACGACCTCATCTGCAAATTTGGTAAGAAGCTTCTACACCATCCCCGACACCGGCTCCTACTACCACCTGAGATCCCTTGTCCGAGAATTGCTGTTCGACACCACAACCGCATCCAGCCCATATGTGCACGAACTGATCGCTATAAGAACAGCCCAGTCCCAACCATTGTAAAAATTATCAATAACTTGTAATAAATCAGTGTATTCACTCCCAGTAAACACTGCTCCTTACACTGTCACTATGTTGAAATGAACTGTAGTTTGAGCTTTTCCACATCTAGTTATTATATGTCTTATTTGTGTCACTTATGTTACTTGTATATTAATTGTAATTCGTAACCCATTCCCCAAATATGTAACTGTATATTTTCAGCCTTCTGGCTGCCAAGCTCTTTCAATAAACCGTTAATTATTATTATTATTATTATTATTACACACAAATTGGCACCATTACTCAGCTGGATCGTGATGCTGTTTTGGTCATTAGCTTTTTAAACCCCCGTTCTCTATCTGTCTGTCTGCCTGCCTGCCTGTCGGCCGGTCGGCCTGTCTGTCTGTCTGTCTGTCTCTATCTGTCTGTCTGCCTGCCTGTCATAAGTAGAATTTTTCCTATAAGTAGTTAGTAGCGATAAGTAATTCCTCATACAGTATCATATAAGTGGCGTCTTAAGCTTACATCTACTTAACGAGCCAATCTTACTTAATAACTTATGGTAGCGAGTGGTCTTATCAAGTTGCTGTTGCCGTGTGCTTGGAAATATTTTAACTTTGGTTTAAGATTCCTACTTATCATTGCTCCTAAATCTTTCTCACAGTAGTCGGATTTCTCACTAACATCGTTGTTCATCTGGTATCTGGTTTCTTTGTTTAGATCTTCCTGTAGTTTTGCCATCTCATTCATTGGAAATCTTAAACAATAATATGCAATGTGACATTTTTAATTTTGCAATTCAATTATGTAAGAGTTTTCACTAACACGGTAGAATATTTTTAATTAAAGGTAATATAAATGTTTTAAGATATGACGTTGATATGTAGGCCTATGGCTTGTAGGCCTGTGAGGAGTGAGACTTGTCAGAAAAGTCTCATAAATATTAACTTAGTAGCAGTTGTTTGAAGTCGGTGAGTATCCAGTAGAATTGTTGAAACTGTCGATAATTATGTGGTTCCACATGTTGTTCTGCTTGTCACAATAAAGGGGATAAAATTATGCACGTATATACACTGTGTGATGTTTACAGAGTCCAATACTGTACAGTTAATAAGACTGGCTCCGTGATCTGTTCTGGGAATCATCTCAATGATGTAGGTCGTTGAGGCGGGTGCCGCTCTGTGTTATAAGCCGAACTTCGGCAAGGGGTCAGTTAAAGGCCGAACAAGGGGCACGGCTGAGACTTACGCCCGTAAGAGTAATTCCTACGCATACCAGGAGAGCGATCTATGAGTCAACTTCTAGAAAAGGTTCCTCGAAGGAAGAAGTAGTTAACCCTTCCCGGAATGTCCAAGCTGGCTACAGTCAGCAGTGTTTACAAAACGTGTATAAACAACCTACAGGTAGATGATCCCTTTGACACATGAATCACTCTTAACTGGTGGTGCAATTATCTGTATATAATAGCAACTATCTATCTAACACTTGCGTGACGCATTTGCAGAATTGAAGCAAAGTATCCATTTTACTACAAATGATCGATTTATTCAGTGTAAAAAGAAATACCTACGACTGAGAGGGATTGCGTCATACGTCGACACTTGGAAGCTGGGCAAAACATCTGCAGAGGTGTAATACAGCTATAACCTATGACAACCTTGCCTCTACGGGTCAGTGAACGATGAATCTTCATAATTATA